TAATAACTTAATTGTACAAATTATATATATGTGTGTGTGTGTGTGTTTTTACTATAATTTAAATTATTATTTTTTAATAACTTAATTGTACAAATTATATATATAATTATGTGTTTATTATAATTTAAATTATTATTTTTTAATAACTTAATTGTACAAATTATATATATATTTACCTAATGTGTTTTTATTATAATTTAAATTCATATTTTTTAATAACTTAATTGTACAAATTACTAATTATGTGTGTTACAATTATTAACTTAATTGTACAAAGTTTGCATTTTCAAATACCAGTATAAGATACTTAAACAAAAAGAATTCTAAGCTAAAATACTACATATTACTACGCTACAAGACTCTAAATTTTACTACGCTATAAGTGTCTACGTTTTACTACGCTAAAAAGGTCTGGATTTTACTACGCTAAAAAATAATCTAAACTAAGCATAAATAACAAATAAATTTAATTGCAAATAAAATACAAAAACGGAATAAAAAACATATATATAAATCAGGATATTAACAGACAAGTTTATTTTACTAATTTATATTTTATTAAAAACACTAATATTAAATTCAGATAAATTTAACATGCTAGTTTCGAAAAAAAACACAAACCGAAATATAACACATACAAATCAAATAATATACATTATTATAAATGTTTCAACTTAAAATAAATCGAAATACCTCGATTTAGAATTTTGGCAAAACAAAAAGATTGAAATTTTGACTCCGGAATTGTGAATCAACAATAGCACGAAACTCTACTCGAATGTGAGACCCTTTTTCTTCGAGTTTTATGTGTCGGGGGGACCCAATTTTTTTTTTTTTTTACAAAAACGGGCAGAATCGGGAGGGGAGTGGGGGGAAAGAAGTGGGGAAGAGTTTTAAAAAAATGGGGGATGGATGGAATCGGAGAAGAAGACGGAGGGGGGGTATAAAAAATCTATGTATAGCGCCACAATACCTGGCGCTATACATTAATGCGCTATGTATAGCGCCAGGTATTGTGGCGCTATACCTGGCCATGTCAGCTTTTACAGTATAGCGCCACAATATCTGGCGTTATACATTAACGGTCCGGTTACTGTTAATGTATAGCGTCAGGTATTGTGGCGCTATATATAAAAATGTAACTTTTTTTAACCACCTATTTGTGTGTTTGAGTAAAAAAAAACCACATTTTGGTTCCGACTATATTCTCATATTTTCCACTCTCTTTTGAATCAATTTTTAAATTGGTACGCTATGGTACACTGATATCTGATAGTGACACACATAAATTACATAGCCGTCCTGTTTATTTTAATATATATGGTCCCCCTATGTTTATATATGCAATAAACTGCCGCACCTAGCAAAGTACAAACTTTGATATCCAGCATTTTAACAGTAGCCGCCCAAGTCAATCTTATCTCAATTAGTTGATTTCTTTCTATATTATAATATGCTGTTTGTTTCGATATATTTCTTACTCGAATACGTTTCTCGACAAATATTTTTTTAAATCTTGAATTATTAGCTATTATAAATTATACGTAATACTTTTTATATAGTTTTTAAATATATATATTTTATTTTAAATAAGATCAAAATTCTATGTCTGAATTTATATAAAAATTATTAAGTTGATACCCTACTCCGAACTACGTCACATCAAGTAAACTAACAACGGAACTATAATAAAGTCCATAGCTTTGTTGCTCTGTTTGTGCATCTGGCAGCTAGAGAGAGAGATGGGGAAAGATGGAAGTAGAAGAGAAGAAACTAATTTGAATCTTTCATTATTTGAGTCAAAGGCAGCTAGAGGAAGAAATATTTACAAGTTATTTGCTTCAACAGTGTTTGTGGGTATTTGCTTGATATGGATATACAGATTGATTAATATGCCAAGAAGAGGTGAATCTGGGAGATGGGCATGGATAGGAATGTTCTTATCTGAGCTTGTCTTTGGTTTCTACTGGATTATCACTCAGTCTGCTCGTTTGGATGTTATATATCGTTTTCCTTTCAAGAACAGACTCTCCCTCAGGTTCGCTCTCTTATCATTCCACACAGAGCGCATATTTTTTTCTCGTTATTCTGATTTTGATTTTCGTATAATGTATTTTGGGTCGCGCTTTATAGTATTTTCACTATTAAAAAAAATTTGATCCCGCACAGAATTGTTCATGGAACTACTATCGAGATTCTGCGGACTTGTAATCGAATAAAATAAAATATAAAAGGGCGAAATGATTTCCCTTTTAGTTGATTTTATTCAATGATTGACCAAAATATTACTCCATTCATCTCAAATTAAATGGCATACTTTCATTGTTAGTCTGTTTTCAAAAAAAAATGACACATTTTTATATTTAGAAATAATTTAATTTTAAATTTTTATTTTACTCATTTTACCCTTAATGAAAAGTTTTTATTGTCATACAAATATTATGGCCCATAAAACTTTTGCCCCTTAAGCTTTTAAGACCATATGTTTCAAAAGTCTTCTTCTTTTTTTTTTTATTAAACTTTATATCAAGTCAAACTAAATTATCTAAATTGAAATGGAAAAAGTAATAATTAATAAATAAATTATTATTTTTATTACTCCCTTCGTTTCAATTTATATGAACTCATTTCCTCTTTAGTCCGTGCGAAAAAGAATGATCTCTTTTCATATTTGGAAACAATTTACCTTTATGCAATGACTTATAGCCACACAAAATATATGTGCCTCATTTTATACCACAAATTCAAAAGTTTTTTTCTTATTTCTTAAACTTCTTGCTCAGTCAAATTTGCTCACATAAATTAAAACGGCTGGAGTAATAAATTGCATGAACTTTGATCAATTAAATAATGATATTTCTATACATATGGAATTATTCGGCCTAATCAATTTGTCTATTTAGATTATCTTTATATATATATATATATACCAAATTTATATATCAATTATAAAAATTATAAAAAAAATTATAATTTGAAATCCATAATTCTAAAGTATCATGAATTTAGTGATAAGAGTTGAATCCATTGAAGTTTAAATTTTGAATTAATCTTGTTTTCAATTTGTAGATACGAGGAGAAGTTGCCAGGTGTGGACATATTCGTTTGCACAGCAGATCCTATAATGGAGCCTCCAACACTGGTGATTAACACAATATTGTCAGTGATGTCATATAATTATCCTCCACAAAAGTTAAGTGTTTACCTTTCAGATGATGGGGGTTCAGAATATACGTTTTATGCTCTCCTTGAGGTCTCTCAATTCTCAAAATATTGGATTCCTTTCTGCAAGAAATTCAATGTGGAGCCCAGGTCTCCTGCTGCCTATTTTAAAGACTCATGCAGTTTAGACGATAAAGTTTTTGCTCAAGAATGGTTCAATACCAAGGTGAGAACTTGCCTTTTTTTCTCAAAATTGAAAATACTTGTCGAGGTGGCAAATAGGTGAGTTGAGTTAAACATGGGCGGATTAAAACAAGTCAAACTAATAGAATTGATCGGATATGTCAAATAACGGGTCATATATAATCCAATCCTCCAACTCCATGGGTCAGGTCAACAAACAGGTCATAACTCAGTTAATTTAAATTTGGACAAGTTGGGCGGGCTACTAAAATATTTGTTGAATTTTCTACCTCTACGGACCCTTAATTAACACTAAATCATGTGTTCCTTACAAACTTTCTTCAGAAATTATATGAAGAGATGAAAACCAGGATTGAGGCCGCGATAAAAAGTGGAAGCATCCCCAGTGAAATTAAGGCTCAGCACAAAGGGTTCTCGGAATGGAACTCAAAAGTAACAAAGCATGATCATCACTCAATTGTTCAGGTAATATATTCTCTTGTTACTAGCATTTATTAAGGTCAAAAAAGAAAAGAACAAAGAATAAAAGATCTACTTTGTGTCCTTTCAGATTCTAATAGATGGAAGGAACCATAACATGGCTGACGTGGATGGAAATCCACTGCCAACACTTGTCTATATGTCACGAGAGAAAAAGCCAAAGTGGCCTCATAACTTCAAGGCCGGATCAATGAACTCATTGGTAAATAAAACAATGATAATTTCTGCTTATACAACTTCAATTCATTTTCGTTTTTTAAGGATTTAAGTTATATATACTAATAGTATAACCCTCCCCAGACCCCACTTATGAGATTATACTGGGTCGTTGTTGTTGTTGTTGTTGTATACTAATAGTATAAAAACATTTTATAGATACGAGTTTCGTCACAAATAAGCAATGCGCCCATCATCCTTAACTTGGACTGCGACATGTACTCAAACGATCCAGATGCAATAAGAGAATCACTGTGCTTCTTCATGGACGAAAAGGAAGGGCACGAGATAGCCTACGTTCAGTATCCTCAGCGTTATAATAATGCAACCAAAAATGACATTTATGGAAATGTGGCTCGAGTGACTCATGAGGTAATCTGTAGAAATGATCACGCTTTGAAAACCATTTTTCAATTCTATTGCTGTATGGAAATGAAGTAAGTACTATTTTATTAACATTCAAAGACATGTTGATGAATTTAAAAACTTGGAATCTCCACAAATGTAGATTGAACTAGCTGGATTAGGAGGTTATGGAGCAGCTTTGTATTGTGGCACAGGGTGTTTTCACAGAAGGGAAAGTCTCTGTGGCAGAAAAGTCTCTGAGGACTATAGTGTTGAATGGAATAATAAGGGAGAAAAATGCACCTATAAAACTGTGGAAGAACTAGAGGAAGCATCAAAAGTTGTTGCAAACTGTAGCTATGAAGAGGGGACTCAATGGGGAAAACAGGTACTAATTTCTTCATCCTCGCGTATGCATTTTCTAGAACAGATACCACCCGCTGGGACAATATAGTGGTAAAAGTTTCTCCTCCCTTAATCAAATGTTTCGAGTCCGAATTTGAGAATGAAGTCATCTTTGGTAGGAGTGCTAGTACCCCATAGTGAACTTTCAACAGTGTCAGCCCATAAGCATATTCTAGCAAAAGATGATAACATATGTTTGATTTATGCAATTTGTTTTCAGATGGGGCTGATGTATGGGTGTCCTGTGGAAGATATAATCACAGGATTAACAATCCAATGCAGAGGATGGAAATCAGTGTACTATAATCCCAGTAAACCTGCCTTTTTGGGTGTAGCTCCAACAATCTTAGACGTTGCTCTTGTTCAGCATAAGAGGTGGTCAGAAGGCTTGTTCCAAATTTTCATATCCAAATACTGCCCCTTCATATATGGCCATGGAAAAATCAAATTGGCTGCCCAAATGGGATATTGTATTTACCTTCTCTGGGCTCCTGTTTCTGTTCCTACGCTGTTTTATGTGTTGGTTCCTTCTCTATGTCTGCTTCATGGCGTCTCTCTATTCCCAGAGGTAATCGGTTTTACTATTTAATTATGTCTTCAACTTGTCTATTCACGTGAGAGCCTGATTCTTTATCACCTGCCAATCACATCTGTCTGCTCAGATATAATATTTTTATTTACTTAATTATGTCTTCTGACACATGTTATGTCGCAGGTGTCAAGCCTATGGTTCTTGCCTTTTGCATATGTGCTTTTCACCTTGAAGTTTGTGTATTCCTTGGCTGAAGCCATGAGCTGCGGTGATACACCCAAGTCATGGTGGAACTTGCAAAGAATGTGGATGATTCGACGGACAACTGCGTACTTCTTCGCATTCATAGATTCAGTGATTAAGCAATTAGGCCTCTCTCAGACAGCATTTGCGCTCACAACAAAGGTAGTAGACGACGATGTCCGGAGAAGATACGAGCAAGAGATCATGGAGTTTGGCAGTTGTTCTGCCATGTTCACTATCACAGCAACACTTGCATTGGTTAACCTGATTAGTTTCATTTGGGGAATCAAGAAACTTGCATTAGATGGAGTGGTAAATACTGTGCCACAAGTTATTCTATGTGGATTAATAGTTCTAGTGAATGTCCCAGTGTATGAAGCACTGTTTTTCCGCAGCGACAAGGGAAGCTTCTCGTCCTCTGTTTTGGTACGATCTGTCGTCCTAGTATCAATAGCATATCTGCTACCTATTTTTTAGATTAGTAGACTTAGGATACGTGCTTTATGGTGTGCTCGTACAAATATGTACAAAAATTTAAATGATGTTATTACTATTTAACAATATATTTAAGTTATTAAATAATAAAAAAATGTAAGTTTCCAAAATAATTGATTACTGACCATGTAAAGTTTAAAAATGAAAAATGTTGATTTACTAATATTTATAACAAATAATTTAATATATTATACTCTCTCCATTTCAATTTATGTGGCACTATATATTCATTTCTTGAGAGTCAGTCTAGTGAATATGTTTTAGGAAATCGAGTTATAATCAAGTGGCACATACAATTAGTGAGTTGGAGTGTGTTTGCTTTACAAGTTAGAGTAACTTGTAATCAAATAGTCGTAGTAGGAGTACTGGAGAGTATTGAATTACAGTCTTGTAATTGATACATTTTTGGCTCATTGTTCTAGTGGAGTTGAAGTTGAAAATCCTACATAGTATATTTTCTGCACCTTTTGAGCTGAGTGATTTTTCATGTAAAATTTTTTGTGTTTACTTTACTGTTTATTTACTTCACATTTAAGGAATACAGTAAAGAATCAAGTTCTTTAATAATTTATGCAGGCACTCAAACTAACAGTTATCCACATCTACTATTTAAAAGATTTTCTCCACACGAAAGATTAACTATCTCATAGATTACATTGAAAATAAAAGAAAATTTGAGCAGCAAGCTCAAGGGCAGCTGCGGCCCGTTTAGGACCATGCTGGGCTAACATCTGGAGGCCCTTTCAAATGAAGGTCTAGACTAGTCAATTAAAAGGGAGAAATTCAAAAATAATCAGATTTACAAGTGGTTATTCAAAAATAGCCACAATTTCAAAAGTAATCGAAATTTAGCCACTTTTCATGTAAAGATAAATCTGAACGAAAACACTGTTCAAAATCCGAAAAATATTCCAGTATATTATAGTGGAACTCCAGTAGGTATTGGAGTTCCAGTATATTCCAGTATAATATATTGAACTTCTAGTACAATATACTGAAGTTCCAATATAATATATCAGTCTAGCATAATATGCTGGTGAAAGTACGGGAGGGGGGGATGAATTGTTTATTTTTAAAATTAATCGCTACCAGTTGACTAGTTTTCTAATTAGTCGACGAGATATAATAATTGATAACAACAATGACAGATTTTAAGATATAGAAATTAAATGCAAGAATTAAAGACACCAAAATTTTTATACCGGTTCGGATTCAATGTGAATCCTAGTCCAATCCCCTTGGGTTGCAAGGGAGTTCTCTTTCAGTGAATGAGTTTCTCGAGTACATAGTGAATTGTTTGATCTACACCGATAGCTCAGGTCCTATATCACTCGTTTCTTTTTTATACAATGTCTCACCAGTGTTGGTCTCTCTTTCTTCTCTAACTTGATACACAGCAGGTCTAGTAGAGCTACAATGTTTGTTTGTAGTAGAACAAAAGAGGGTATTTGATTCGATCAAAGTATATGTGCTAAGGTACAGATACAAGTTTAAATACTTTGAGAGAGGCTTGATTTCTGAAGAGATTTGTCAACCCAAGAGATTTGATCCTTAGAAAGAAATTAATTCTTTCCAAGAATAAGGTTATTCAGCAATGGCTTTGTCTTGACGAGAGGCTTTAATGACTTCCCTTATACGTGACTTGATAGCGCCGGATATCCTTCCTTGAATCGTGATCCTTCCAGATTTAGTATACTTGATTGATTATCTTGCAAGATCTTTGATACTCTTGATTGATTTGATTCCTTCAGTCTAGCCTTAATTGATTCCATCAGTATCAATGATTCCTTTAATCTTGGATGTTTTCCTTGATTTTCTCTGATTGATTACTTTAATCTTGTATGTTATTCATGAGTTCCTTGATCTTCTCTGATTGATTCCTTCAATCTTGAATGCTATCCATGAGTTCCTATACAAAGAACAAAAAAAAAATCATCATTAAAATCAGATCTAACAATCTCCCCCTTTTTGATGATGACAAAATAATATATATGTATAAATATCAGTTGACTTCCCTGTATTTTACTCCCCCTCAATGAGAGCAGTTGACTTTCTCTTTCTTTTGCATGATCTATGACTCCCCCTCAAAAAGTGTCGAGCTACTAACTTGCATATACCCTTCAGTCGACTTATCCTTGTATGTACCTGTACAAATACATGTATCCTTTCTCCCCCTTTTTGACATCAGCAAAGAGGGAATAGAAAAATAGAGGATATACTAAAATAGGATTTATAGCAGGATATGCTATCAAAGTCATAGCAAAACAAAAGAAAACAAGAAGAAAAAAAATTATCCACCGACTGATTTTTCAGTCCAGAAATAGCACAGCAAAAAAATTATCTTAAACTTCCACATTAACGACGTAGAAAATAGGTAAGAGTATTGCAGATCACCTCTTTCAATTGATCAAAGCTGGCATTGGCTGAAACACTCACTCCATCAAGCCTGTCATGAACCTCCTTGAATGTCTTGACAGTGTTTTCCCTTACTCTGAGAACTGCAACTCTTATCTTGGAAACATCAGACCCTGTTTCTTTAGAGATAGCATGAATGTTACTAACAATGGACTGAGTGGAAGTGAGAAGATCTTTGATTGTAGAGAGCTAATTGTCAATAGCATTAAGCTTTTCAGCAAGGTCAGGATCACTATGGCTAGGATGGGAAACAGAAGGTTTGGGTTTGGAATCTGTTTGAGCATGCTTGACTTCTCCTTCTTGTTTCTTAACCCATGAGCCCTTCATGCACACATACCCCATACTCGCAAAAGCTATGGAGTTGTAAGATTTCAAAACAAAGATAAAGGGATAAGTAGATATGGAAATATTGTGAGCTTCTAGGATGTGAGTGATGGTCATGCCATAGGGTAAACTAGTGGGATCATCTGTACTTTCAATCGTAAAATTGATGACTCAGGAGGATAGCTTGATTTTGAGTTTAGTCACAAGGCAATAGACCAGAAAGGTGTCTCTTTGTGAGAATGTAGAGAAAGAGCCAGTGCGAGGATGCAGAGTGGTTGCAACAATGTAGGCCAGAACTCGAGTTTCGAAACTAATATCAATAGGGCCTAACTGGTTTGGGAGAGATTCAGATGGACACTCAGTAATATACCTTTTAGCTTATTCAAAAGAAATTTCAAAATCATCGGGCCAGGAATTTTTGAGAAGCATGGGAAAACCAGAACACTTACACTAAAAGATTGAATCAAACATGGCACAATCAAGAGCAATACGCTTTCCTAACACTAAAGACTCCAACTTATCAGACTTACTAGAGCGAAGATTTGCATAGAACATTCTCACTAGGGGTTCATAGACTTTAGGCGGAGGAACAGAAAAGAACTTTGACCACTCTTGATAAACGAAAAGATCTTTTAACTTACAATTTAGGGCTTCCATGGCATCAAGGTCGACTACCCTCCCATGAGCAATAGGCTTGTCTTTTAGGGCGATGAAAAAATTCCTATTTGGAGAATCCCAGAAATTTAGGTCCGACTCTAGGGAACTAGAAAGATCTATTTTTGACTTCTTTGGAGTAAAGAAAACAGGGGTTCTTCCATAGGTCGTTTTCCTAAAGATTTTTCTTCTAAGGTGTGAGAATGATCATAAAACTCAGCCTGAGAAGAGGCAAAACCTTCAGAATGATTGAACCCTAGGTCTACCTGTTCTGGGGGCTCAGAAGGGGGTTTTTGCTTTGGAGCGAGTACTCTTCCTAGAGGAGGCAGAGGGATTTTTGGGGTGTTTGGCCATTGAAGAGTTTTTGGTTGGGCAAAGCTTCTGAGAAGGGTTCTAGGCGATAGGGACAATGGAGATAGAAAAGAGGTTTCAACATTAAAAAGAGGGTTTCTGACGGTTGAGTACAGAAAAGGAAAAGGTATCGGTTGATCAGACATGATGATTGGCTTTCCTTCTTTGAACTTTGCAACTGATGTGAAAAGAGAAGAAAAGAGAGGGAAATCGGAGGCGAAATTAATGATTAAGAAAAGATATATTAGGCATACAGAACAAAATAATAGCACATAGGTCATAATATTAACTATTAATGCAAATATGCCAAGTAATTCTCTTAGAGAGCAAAATCTTTCTTCCAATAAAGGTTTAGTAAAAATATCTGTTAATTGATCGGTTGTTCCAACAAAAGATATTTCTATGTTTCCTTTAAGAACATGATCTTTAATAAAATGATACTTGATGTCTATATGTTTTGCCCTATAATGATGCAGATGATTTTTAGAGAGACATATAGCACTAGAATTATCACAGAAAATTGGTATAGGCTTAAATGATAATTCATAGTCACCAAGTTGATGAGACATCCAAAAATAATTGTACACAACATTGTCCAATAGCAATGTCAGCTTCAGTCGTGGATAGTGCAACTGATCCTTATTTTTTACTGTTCCAAGATATCAATACTTTTCCAAGTAATTGACACGTTCCACTTGTGCTATTTTTGTCTTCCTTATCACCTACAAGATCAGCAGCTGAAAAACCTTCTAATTTAAACGTGTTAGAACGAGGATACCATAGTCCATGCGAGACAGTTCCAATGAGATATCGAATAATTCTGTTTACTGTAGTCAGATGTGATTCCTTAGGAGCTGACTGAAACTTGACACATTTACAGACACTAAACATAATATTCGTCGACTAGCAGTTAGATAAAAAAGTGAGCCAATCATTCCATGATACTTAGTTTCATCAACAAAAATTCCTTGCTCGTCTTTATCGAGACTTGTTGAAGGACTCATTGGTGTGCCAATAGCTTTAGCATTGCTCATGCCGATTTTTTGGATCAACTCATTTGTATATTTAGTCTGATATATGAACTTTCCTTCTTCATATTGTTGGATTTGAAGTCCAAGGAAGAAGGTTAGTTCTTTCATCATGCTCATTTCAAACTCACTTTGCATAAGATTTGAAAATTCATTGCACATAAGAGGATTAGCACCACCAAATATAATATCATCAACATAAATTTGAATAATGAAATTACCTTCTGATGATCTTTTAATAAACAGAGTAGTGTTTACTTTACCTCTTGTAAATCCATGATCAATAAGAAATGAACTGAGTCTTTCGTACCATGCTCGTGGAGCTTGCTTCAGTCCATATA